TCTTTAAATCTGCAGTTATCAAGAAAATTCACTAGAAAGGGGGTATTTAATGATAAGATTTAGTACATGTACAGGTTAGAAAAGGCCTTATCTTAAAAAGAGGGGGAAACTTTACACAATACTATTATTTTTATGGCATACGTCTAAATGACATAATCAGGTTGGCCAAGTTTGGCAACCATGCAAATAATAGCGTTTGCCTTAGGCAACAATAATGCGTTTACACGTTTGCATTTTGTTTAATGCACTTCTCGACCTGAACGCGCTCAAAGGGGCGGTTCTTTAACACGCGAAAACTTGACGCAGCTTCGGCCTCGGCGCACACCGAGCACAACTCGCCTGCGGGGTGCCCGAAGAACATCATGTGCCTGTCGCGCTCCACGCGGAAGACGGCGACCACGTGGAGAGGCATGGGGGCGGCGCGGCGCACCAAGTCCTGGCAGTCTGCGGAGACAAAGAAAGGGATCATTGAGTTCTCAGCGGGAACGCTATTACGGAACGGCGACGCGACTTCTCACCTTGATAACCCGAATAGTCGCTGGCTGAGTCAGAGCCACTCCCGGTGCCGTCCGTGAAGACGATGACGGCCAGCTTTGGCATGGTATCGGCGGAGAGATGGGAGAGCTTCAGGGTCGGCTTGTCGAGCCCCAGGAGACGGAGCGAGCGCAGGTTAGGTAGGCCCACTAGCGCTACTCTCAGGGACCCTGCCATCACGCTCCGGCCCCGGCGGCAGGACAGCACGAGGTGCTGCAGGCTGGTGAGCCCGACCCCGACCGCCCCTAGGGCTCGCACCGAACCGTCACTGCAACGCCTGAGCTCAAGGCGCTCTAGTGAACTCGGGCACGACTTTAACAGTGCGCTGACCCTATAGCACTGAAAACAACAAAGACTCAATGGAGCCGGAAAATCAGTCCAGTCGGACGCGGGAGCAACAATACAACTGACTCAGGAAAGTGGGTAACTTTGCTTACAAAGATGTCGCTCTTGAGGAAGATGGTGAGATGCTTGAGGCTGGTCATTTGCTGCAGTCCCTTTAGGTGGTGGTCATCATCGACGGTCAGGGTGAGTCGCTGCAGCGCGCTGGCAAAGGAGTCCAGGAGCGGCAGTAGCTGCGGCGAGGCCAGCCTCAGGTGGTGCAGCGTTGCCCTGCAGGAATCAAGTTGGAAGATTAAACCAGCACGTTGAGGAAAGGAAGAGTATTGTCAGAATAAATATCTAAGCAATAGCATCGTACTCGTGCGGGAGCAGCAGCGAGCGGAGGACCTCGAAAAAGGAGGTGGAAGGTTCGCACCGTTGTTCTTCCTGTTCTTCCTCATCGTAATCGTAGGAGTCCGAAGAGTCCGCGTCGGATGTGTCATCGTCATCTTCTTCGTCTTGATCCTCGTCTACATCGTCCCACTCGCCCACTTCCCCTTGTACGTCGTTCACTTGGCCGTGGACACCGACCACTTCGCCTTGTACGTCGTTCCCTTGGCCTTGGACGCCGACCACTTGCCCTTCGGCGTCGTTATCTTGGCCTTCGGCGTCGTTATCTTGGCCTTCGGCGTCGTTATCTTGGCCTTGGACGCCGACCACTTGGCCTTCGGCGTCGTGCACTTGCCCCTCAACGTCGTCCACGTGGACTTCGTTGTTGCCGTGTTTGCGTTTGACGTCGCCGTCCTCGTCTTTGACGCTGTTATCTCCGCCTTTGGCATCGTCCTCTTTACCTTTGACGTCGTCTACCTCGCCTTTGACGTCTTCTACTTCGCATTTGAAATCTCCCACTCGTCCTTCGAAGTCATCCACCTCGCCTGGGATGTCGTCCACTTCGCCTTTGGAGTCGTCCACTTCGCCATGTGCTTCGTCCACTTCACAATGAGACTCGCCCATGTCGTCCTGGAAGTCGTCCACTTTACCCTGGACGTCGTTCACTTGACCCTCCTGGACGTCGGTTACGTGCCCTTGGACGGCGTCGTCTTCACGGCCTCGGACGTCTCCTACATGGCCTTGGACGTCGTCCACTTGGGCTTCCACGTTGCCGTCTTTGCGTTCGACGTCACCACCTCCCATGCTAACGAAGATGGCGTCATCCTCATCGTCGTCCTCGCTCCCGGTGTCGGAATCGTCGCCTAAATCACCAAACTGAAACTCAGCGGTATGCAGTTGGGATAGCACCACCTCCTGAGAACAGTAAAAGACGTCGAAACGCATGTTATACTGACTACAGCTGCTGCGCCGCAAATGCCCGGCTGTTCGGCGGCGGGGAGCTGGTGGAGGTTGGCCGGAGAGCATAAACGTAGAAGGGGGGGG